TTTAATGTGCATCATGAATCACCTTACATTGAAGTTTATTTTTCCATGAAAATTTTTATTTTTTTCAAGCAATTACAGGTAAGTAAGTGTTTGAATTCTGCAAGCATTTGGTTTTCATTTATCCTTACTAAATCCTGAGCTGCTGAACTTTAGTGACACTTTTTGATTTTCACATCCATAACTCCCAGGAATTTAGGGTGTGAATTTGGGTATTGGTAAAGTGGCTTTTCTATGTTCTTATTTTCTTGGAAATTGATTTTACAAGTATTATTTTACTGGGATGCTTATCAACATTTTCATTTTTTTCAAAGTGTTGACTTTAAGGTGAAAACAATTTCAGTGGATGGCAATAAGGCTAAACTTGCAATTTGGGTAAGAGTTTTAAAAATGTATTTTGTATAAATATTCAACTTGTATTTTTTAAAGAAGCAGAAGGTGATGTGTGTAGAGTTCTAGAGGGAAACAATTTGTATCAAATAATTTTTGGACAATTTGTTGGTTAATGGATAAACAATAAATGGCTATGTTTTATATTGGGTAATGAGGCAGAGACTTGTTCCACTTAATCAAAATTTTAAAATATACAATCCCTTAAGAATACTTAAAAGCAGAATAAAGTATAGAAAAATCATCTTATCTGCCAGAAGGGATTATTGCTATTGAATACGTTTCTTTAAAGTTTTAAGAAGACAGTGTATACTCAGCTAACACTGAAGGCAGTTGTTGGGGAGAAGGGGATGAAGTGATGCTCAGGAAAAAAAGTATTTTTCATGTTAGTCTGTTCGTATATTCCTGAAATTTGAATTTGCCAACTTTGGATATATTTTCTACTCTCAGTGCCTAGTCTTTACTTACTGTCCTTTCATTTGCCTGTGAACCCAAACATTCTGATACGTGTTGCTTTTCTAAGACCTTTTCATGATAGTGCTGACCAAATAAAATAGCAATAACTGTCAAAGACGTCCAAGATGCTTAGTGTCTGTCTCTGTCTGCCCGTCTCTCTCCCACTCCTGTCTACCTACCTACCTACTTCTCTCTCTCTATCTAAATGATTGCCAATAGATTACATTACATATATAATTTATAAAACTATGCTCTTATATATCGGATTCCCACATATACTATGATAACTAAATATATAAATACGTTTTTGTTACATGGGATAATTGGAACTGGTTAGCGGTCATCACACTGAGATGTACTTCAACATGGTGATGAAGTAGTAACTGGGCATCGGTTACAGATTGAAACAGCACGTGTTTATCTGATTCATTTTCCTGGCATTCTCCGAATGGCATATTATTTCTAATACACATTTTATCCCAAATAACAAGTAACTGTGTAAGTGTGTCTCATGTTTTTCTGTTAATTTTTTTCTAACATACAATACTTTACACGATCGGTAGCCTATTGGCCCCCTCCCCAAAATATAATTATGATATTGATAAGAATAGTAATGTCTAACAGAAAACAATTTGGAAAATGTTGGACTAGGCCATAATAAAATATATCGAACAGTTTAAGAATGCTAGCTTCTCCCTGTACAAAAGTGGGAGCCTGATTTTCCGTATACTTTTCATGGTTGAATTTATCCCTTCTTTCTGCCCTTGCTACTGTTTTGTGAGATATACGTGTTAGAATAGGATCTAAGGCTTGGTGGTTTCCGTGAGATCTTTCTTTTATGCAAGAGGTATTGTTAAATTTACTTTTTAGTTCCTGTATAATAAAAAGGTTGGCAGGTATTACTGAAGTGACATCTTTATCATAGGCGTATAAATATTTTTTTAAATAAGAGGCTCAATCTCAGAACCCTGAGACCCTCATGACCTGAGCTTAAATCAAGAGTCAGAAGCTCAACTGACTCAGCCACTCAGGTGCCCCAAATGTTAATATTCTTGTGTGTGAGTGTTTGTAATACTAACTCTGTCATGTGCTGCAAATATTTTTTTCCTGTTTGTCATTTGCCTTCAAATCTTGTTGAGGATGAGTGAGTGTGTGTACGGGGTATGGATGGTGTGGGGAGAGATGTTCTTGCCATACCAAGGTTTTAGTATTTTTGTGGTCAGACCAGTTTTTTTTTTTCATGAATTTGGGTGTTACGTCATATTTAGGAAGGCCTCCTCACTCATAAATAGAAATACATGAGTCCATTGTTTCCTCTCAGTTCCTCTCCTGCTTCGATGCTTCTCCTAGGATCAGTCAAATAGAATAATCAAGTACAGCCCTGTCCTCACTGCTCCCAAAAGTGCCGCACAGACATCACGGCCTACTTGGCACCTCTAAAGCTATTTTTCTCTATATCCTGCCCTCACTTCCACTCCCACATTTTAATATTTAGTCTTTCCAGATCCTTCCTTGTCCTTTGTCCATTTCTAATCTTTAATAATCTCTTTTCTCCTCTCCCATCAGAGAAGAAAACCACAGATAGTAAGCTCTGCTTTTCTTATCTTACAAGGATGCTATTACAGTTATTGCAAATTCCTATCTTGAAAACAAGAACAAGCAAAAATCTTAACTTTTGACTATGTAAGCCTATAAATTTTATAGGTGTAATATATTCTGATCCAATATTGTGGCACAGGGTGTTTGCTCAAATTATCATACCTACTTAAACATTTTTATAAGTGGATCCAAAAAAATCAAGACTCTAAATAGCTGGATTAATTTAAATATTTGTGTGTAAATATTTTTTACTGTAGTATTTTAACATTAAACATTATTTTTTGGCTCTAGTCTTTTTTGTTTGTTTGTTTTTAAGATTTTATTTATGAGAAAGAGCAAGAGAACCTGAGCAGGGGGAGGGGTAAAGGTGGAGAAACAGACTCGACACTGAGCATGGAGCCTGACATGGGGCTCAGTCCCAGGATCCTGGGATCATGACCTGAGCTGAAGTCAGACGCGTAACCAACTGAACCACCCAGGCGCCCTGCTCTGGTCTTTATTTTTAAAACACTGGGCTTTATGGATATTTTAACTAGAATCACAGTTCTGATTTTTAAAAGATTTATTTATTTATTTTAGGGGGAGGGGCAGAGGGAGCAGACTCCCCACTGAGCACAGAGCCCCACATGGGGCTCTATCCCAGGCCCCTGAGATCAGGACTTGGGCTGAAATCAGGAGTCGGATGCCCAAGGCACTCCACAGTTCTGATGTTTATGTTGTGTCTCCTCAGAGCAGTTACTAAGTGGATCTCAGTGAATATCAAGGGAAACAAAATTCATATTCAAATGCTTTTCGCTGTTTCTGGAAATTAATTTATTATAGTGTGGATACGGTTTTGATATGAAAACAGAATTTTTCTGTTACAACCAAAAGTCTTGTGACTAAAATATTTCTTGCTTGGTCCTTGCCCTAACCTTTATCAAATTATCCAAAGTATAATCTGCTTTAGATAGTAAGTACACTTCAGTTGGTGCACCTTTAATTTATATTACTGTTTTTTGAAAAGTTGAGTCAATATGCAAATTGAATAATTTTAAATATCAGAGGTTTTGTAAGAAACTTTGAAGCAAAGGGAATTTTTGTAAAGAGAGAAATCATTTTTATCATAAATTTATCTGTTTAGAAAGTTTAATTTTGTTAATTTTTTCACTTCAAGATGGCAGGGCTGGGGGCAGTTTCTGTAGTGGTGAGAGTCTGGAAGCAAGGACATTCTGCATTTATGTAAGCGTAGCTGGGGAAGAGTAGTAGATTTGCAGAGTGGTTTACTTTGAAAGTTATTTTCCTCTTAAGTTTCTCTTCTGGGGCCATAAATTACTCATATATTCTCTACCTGTTGCTCTTATATTAAAGCAGTCTCTATTTTGGCCAGGGACAGAAAGTAGGTAAGTAGGAAAGTAAGTAGCTGGAGCCCGTCACTGCTGGTTTAAAATGCCTCTGCAATCTTATAAACCTCTTAGAGGTTATGAACATGTTTTCTATCTGAAGGAGCGTCTGCTTGCCCCATAGCTAAACTTGGATTTACAACCATGAGACTGGCAGCTAAGTTGATGTTTGACATATGTCTTCACTTTTCTTCAGGTTATTTGATATTAGCAGACTGGAAACTTTTTCTTACAGGGCAGAGAGTAAATATTTAGTCTAATCCTAAGGCAGGCCATGTGGCATTGCATAATCGAACGGGCCTGGCTGTGTTCCAGTAAAACTTTAGTTAATAAAACAGGTGCTGGGCGGAGGGAGCCGTTTGTCAACTGCTGCTTTGCATAATCTTAGGTATCTTGAAGCCACAGTCCAAGGATGGTAGAAAGAAGACAGAAGGAACCAGGTCCGGAAGTACGGACTTGTTAATTAGTTTGGGTTGGTTGGTTGGTTGGTTTCCAAGGAAAGTTGAGCAACTGTCCTGTGGCAAGAATTGCTCTAGGCACTGGGGTTAAACCGATGATTAAGCAGATGAGGTCTCTTTCCTCACGAAACTTGCACTTCCTAGCTGGTGTGCATCTTTTATGTTCCTCTCCCCCAATATGTGTCAGAAACATGTGATAGCAAGTGGTTTGGTTTTATGCATTTTCCGAAAAGAAGATACAGAGAAAATACTTTTAAGAGTCCAACCTAAAAATTGCTTACCTAAAATAAGACACTCCTGTAATTCTCTTTAAAAAAAAAAAAAAAGTGGTTCTCAACCTTGATTCTACATTAGAATCACCCGGGAAGACTTTGAAAACCTCTGTCTTACCGTAGACCAATTAAACCAGAACCAGTGGGGGTTGGACCCAGGCATTGGAATTTTTCATTTCCCAGGAAATTTCACTATGCTTCTGAAGTTGAGAACCATGGCTTTCAAGGAAATGGGTTTCATGTGTGATAAAAATCTTGAAGAAATACCCCTTTACTTAGATGCATTTTTCTAGAGATGAGTCAGTATTTATTAATTTTATTTTATGTAACCCTCTTCAGTAAGAGAACGCATCTAATTTAAATTTCAAGATTTAAATGAGCTTGTGCATGGATATTTTTAATAATGCTGTTTGACTTTCTACTCTTAATACTATTTATACTTTTTAAATTTAGTAATAATTGGTTGTCACCTTTAGGATACTGCTGGTCAAGAGAGGTTCAGAACATTAACTCCCAGCTATTATAGAGGTGCAGAGGGTGTGATATTAGGTAAGGTTTTACTTTACGATACTGCTTTAAAAATGTTGTTTTATTATTGCAATTTCTGATTTTCCTTATCTGTGAAGGTCAGTGAGTTTTTAGTTTTCTTCAGGGGTACCTTTATGTAACTTGAAGTTATATTAGCTTCATTTAATATTAATGAATATTTAAACTTTCAAAATTTCTTTTCAGTCCTTTGTCTAGCAATTAAAAGAGAAAGATCAGATTAATTTATTTGGTTTAAAAGCACATGTTGATGAAGACATAATTGAGGATTAATCCACATGTAATTGGTCTGTCTGACGAGTGTTACCAGAAACTGATCTTCAGTCAGCAGTGCATTAACATTTGCTGTGCGTTTATAAAGAAAGAAGGATGCTAGTTGCTTAGTTGAATCTGTTTTATGAGTCCTAAAAAGTCTAACAAGGCACTTAACATCGTTGATTCATAATCATACAGAATTTAAAAACCAAATGTGGATTCTCATTGTAAGTTGTTGAAAAGTGCTTGTTACCAATATTCCTGGGAAACTTTTAAAAATAAATATTGGTCAATTTTAGGGAAAATTGTCTTTTTATATTATATCATAAATAGTGAGGTTTTAGGTTCATTTCATTAATTTAACAGCAACTCTTATTTTGGTTTAGCATCTTTAAGTTTAGAAAACACCTTTTTTTAAAAAAAAACATTTTATTTATTTATTTGACAGAGAGCAGGAGAGCACAGGCCGGGGAGCAGCAGAGGGAGAGGGAGAAGCAGGCTCCCTGCTGAGCAGGGAGTCAGAGGTGGGGCTCGATCCCAGGACCTGGGACCATGACCTGCCCCGAAGGCAGTTGCTTAAGCAACTGAGCCACCCAGGCGCCCCTAGAAAACACTTTAAATTAATAAGTTCTTTATATGAATAAGCCCTTAATATATTTTAATGCAGTGGGATGGAAGATGAAAGTGATAACAAGGAGACAATCAGGATCTTCTCCGTTAAGTTTACATATTTTTTCAAAGTTGCAAATTCTGGTCCTTGTAAGAAACAAATTAACAGGGTCATAGATGTTTGAATCCATGGAAAAAAGTTTGGTATTTTGCCACAGATTTGGATCTGAATGTTTTCGTTTTTGGATAAATGTCTTTTATTGTTAAGAACGGGAACAGCTGTTGTTTTGCTTAAATTAATTTTCAGTTATCACCCAGGATATAATTTCATTTCTCTCACGGTGTGTCTTAATGAAATTGAAGTGTGTGTATGTATATGTTTATTATTATTTTTTAATACACTTGTTTCTTCCATCTGGCTGAGTAGATACTGATTGTTAAGCATTTGAAGGCTTAGAAACAGACTTGCCTATATAGAAATATTAGCTTGTAGTGACATATCAGAAATATAATGCCATTGCTCTTATTTTTAATGCTTATTTAATAAGTGACCCTTTTTATTTCAGTTTATGATGTCACAAGAAGAGATACCTTTGTCAAATTGGATAATTGGTTAAATGAATTGAAAACATACTGCACGAGAAATGACGTAGTAAACATGCTGGTTGGAAATAAAATTGGTAAGGTAAGAAGTCAGACACTTGGCATTTTGACTGTATTTTGGTAGCTTTTCTTAATCCTTATATTTACCTTTT